CTTCCGCTTAATTAATGACCAAACCCGGCCCAAAACCCATGCCACGTGTTCTCGCGGGGACTGCCGCGACCGCAGCAATGATCCCGCAGAATTAATTACGGGAGCCGGCTGTACCGACGAACTTAGAAATACGGTTAAATCAGAATGCAGCGAGCAGCCAGACGGCTCTGCTGGTGCAAACGAGGAGTGCAGAAGAGGGAAGGACTCAATCCTGGAGCTCGGTGGGAACTGGAACCAGTTTAGCACCACAGTGCCGTCTCAGCTCTGCACACATTCACCTGACTCTCAGCATCAGCGTCATCATTCCAGCCAACAAACTCTAAAAATCAACAGCTCCTGTTTATCTGCAAGTAACAGATGCTGAGAAGTAGAGGGATGTACACCTTTAGCTGAGATTTCACCTTTTTTTTTGGCTAGGAACTGCGAAGTGGAGCATCAAATAGCAAAGTACAAATCCTCCCATTTGGCAGCGAGCTAATGACAGGTTTGATTTCTGGAACAAAAAACTGTGCAACATTAAGCAGGTACGGAGAGCCCCACACAAGAAAGCCATATTATGAAAAATAAATTAGCATGAGTGACTCAGACTATACAAAAATAACCTTTCCATCCCACTCCCTCTGAAGCAGATAAGCAGATCTGAGCTCTTTGATCTGAGCTGGAACGCAAGGACGGGGTTTGTGTCCCCAGCCCCAGCCCCAGCCTCCTGCATTATTCAGCTGTGCACGTCCCGCCGTGGAACAGGTTTCCCATCCAGGAGGTGGGAGTGATGATCTGATTCAACCTTGGAAAACACTCTGAGGTCTGTGATCTCACTCAACAAATGTCAGAAATATTTTATCAGTAGTATTAGGTCCTTCCTTCTGGCTTGATGGCAAAAAGAGGAATAAGAAAAGTAAATGCCAAAGTTCAAAATTAAACAGGAGATCCTGAATTACACACGAGACAATTACATAGAGAAAAACAGTCCATCAGTCTTGAATAGAAATTCCAAGACAAACATTTTTTTTTTCAGGTATTTCCATTACTTTTGGTTGAAAATAAAAAAGCTGCCCTGACAGTAAAATAATCTGGAGTTTTTAATTTCTTGGGGTAATTGCTTCTCCTTTGCCAGGATGCCGATGGGTACTGAACCAGATGCTGGCAGAATGAATGCACCCAGGTGTTTTCCCTCACTATGTATATTTACACAACTGCTGCTGCTGCACAGAACTGAATCAGCCCTACATTAACACATAGAAAGTGAGGAACCGATGGCACTAAACAACGGGACAGAACTGAACGCTGCAGTGACGCTTCTGACCACAGCAAGAGGACTGTGCCTCTGCTCCTCCACCCAGCAAAGCTGCTCATGGCTGAGGCTAGAAGTCAGTTCAGTGCTGGAACAACAGACAACACCATAAATATCTGGGCATTTCTGTACTGAACATAAATACAGTTGCACGTGAACTACAGCAGGAAATGCCCTACATCTACCGAAATGAATGGTAGAACTCCCTTTGGCTGACATGATTTGTTTAGAAAACTAAATGCACTGAAGAAAGGGCAGGTTTAAATCTTAAAACACAAAAAGAAAAAAACAGCTTTATCAATCCACAGACAGGGTTTATTACCTCCTAAGAGCTACCACTCTTTGATAAAGACTGAAAAACAATCAGCCAGCTTTTGCCTATAGAACATTTTAAAGCACAAAACCCACATCTTTTCTTCCGCAGATATCTAAAACCAGACCTCAATACTTCTGTCCTGCAGAAGAAACCTCTCAGGGCAATGCTTTCCCTGCTGTGGTTCTTGCTGACCACACTTCCACCCAGCGGGATTTCCACCGGCTGCACAGCCCGGCAGAGCCTGAACCTTTTATCCCCAGTCTCCAACCACCCAACCCATCTCCAGCCATCCCTTCTCAACCTAAGGACAAGCTGAGCAGTTAAAAAAGTCTTCTTGAAACCTGGAATGGTTCTTTACCTTCCTCTTACACCAGGAAGACTTTCCCCCAGCCAGAGAAGCAACAGGACCGAAAGTGGGCTTGGTGAGAAAAGGAGCAGCATCTCAGGCTGCATCCAGTGAGGAAAACACTCTCCTGGAAGGAGGGAAGTCTTCTCTCCACAGAAGGAATGTTTAGGGAGTGATTTCACACAATGAAGTATCTGCTAGAGACTGGCAAGAAGTGTCAGACTTCAAAGTAAAGAGCTGACCTTTTTTAATTCTGTGGATTGGCGCTTTGCGTGGGGGCGTGGGTGAGGATGTATGTAAATCCACAAACGGCTATCAGTGAGCCCATACCTCGCTCCTGCTCCCTGGAAAGGCCCTGCCTAATCCCAGGGAATTCCCGGCTGCAAGGCTGCAGGAACGCTGCCCAGTGGGTGCAAGAGGGCTGCAGGCAGCAGCACAGCTGATCCAGCGCCATCCCCCAAGTCTGGCACCATCCCTGGCAGAGCCCATCTCCCCTGGGAGATGCAGGACACAGCTCAGGTGGAACAGTCGGCCCCACCAGGTCACGCTGAGAGGGGTCCTCTGAAAGGGACTCCCATTCTACCTTCTGCATGAGCATTTCCACCAGTTACCCTGAACCAAATCAAGTGCTCCTGCAGCAGAGTCCACTAAAAGAGCAGAAAATAAATCTGCAGGGAGTGGGGAAAGAAAGAACAACAAAAAGAAGAGCTTAGTTAGTTAGAGCTTAGCTATTAGTTCGTTTTTGCTGAGCTAGAGAGTTGGCCAGGCACACGCAAGAGGCAGCACAAGGGTGCCTGTCTGGGGACACAGTGGGGACAGGATGGGACAATGCATCTGGAGGGTGACGCAACAGCAAGGAGGAGAGACACCTCTGGTTTTTGGCAGCAGGGAGCTGCGAGGTGAGCTCAGGCAGATGTGGAAAGGCAGCCCTGAGAGGGGAACTGGCACTGCTATAGATGCCAGCATCCTCAGTGAGCGGGAGCTGGGCCGGGGAGGGGAGCCCCAGCCTCCCCCTCCCACGGGCCACAGCAGACACCCTGGGGCAACAGCGTCTCAAACTGCTCAGCAAGGACTGCCAGATGCTGCCTGTCTGTGGCTTAACTGCATTTAGCACACTCAATGAAAAAAATCTGTATCAAATTAAGAAAATGAGTAACGTTAATGGGAGCTGCACGCAAGTGCTGGTAGGACAAAGGCTCCCCTTGTTAGCTCAAGCCGCCAAATGCAAAGGCCACCATTAAAGACCCATCAAGGTACCACCAGGATATGACACAGATCAAGTGTGACACATCTCCAGGCTTTAGACAGGTCCGTGGTGGTGTTGGGAATCTGCTGTGAATTACCCTGAGCCTCGCAGAGATCAGCACGGAGCCGCGAGCTTCGAGCACAACTGGCTGGACTTTTTTCAGCAGAAAATGTTGATTCATCAGAACCCAAACTTTTTGTGGGAATTGAGGGCCTCTGATGAAATCTCCCTCTCTCTGGGAGGGAGAGGCTTGAAAAGCAAAGCAGGGAGACAGGCACATCTCCTCCAAGAGGCACCAGCACCCTGACTCAGGCGCTCGCTGAAGACGTGGAAGATCCAGATTTGTATCTGCAGCCCAAGCTGGGCAAACGAGGGGTGGCAACTTCTGCCTCCACATCCTCAAAGAGGTGGCCTGACCGTCCATGCTGGGAAAGGACTCTCTCTCCCAAAAAACCTGCTCCTTTCCCGCTTCAGTGCGGGGAAAATGTCAGAATTGTGGTGACTTCCAGAAAGTCACCTTTAAGCCAGCTTGCACATCAAGAGACAGGACAGGGGGTTGAGATATGTTTTTTGAAAGCTCAAACTTCAGATCAGCATCGAGATTAGGCTGCCAGCAGAGAGAATGCAAGTTTTGCAGGCAAGCTTTGGAAAAACAGTGTTCCCTACACTGGGTATGCTGGAAAAGCAGACTGACCTCCAGCTGAACTGCTGAGGTTTTGCTGGATGACTCTTACATGAAATGGTTACACATAAATTATATCACATTCTAGATGACCACTGATGATGGCCCACTCAGAGAACATAATTTCCTTTAAAAACAGTAATTTTCCTTCCTCTTCACCTAACCCTGGTATTAAATTATTTTTTAAAATAATTACAAAACCAGAATACTCATTTCAATTAAACCCATGTTACTAACTCTTAAACCTGCAAAAGGTTGGTCCACTGGATTCCAGAAGCGTATCTGAAAAATACTAAATTTCCAACCAAATCTGAAGCACCTCACAAGACAACAGATTGCAAATTTAAAATTAGATTCTAGTGGGAGGCCCTGGTGACAAATCTGTATTTTTCTCCTGGAGCGTAGCTCGAAGGCTGTGAGAACCAGAACAATGATCAAATCCACAGCGGGCAGTGAGCCTACAGAAATAAACTTCTGCTAAAATCTGCCAGCCAACAACAAAGATTTTTACTGAACTCACCAGAACCACATAGAAAAATGTACAAGACTAATAACCAAGTGTGAACACACACATTTTATTGTAATTAAAATGTGCTTTTTCAAAAGGGCAATGGAGAGGCTGAAATTCCACAGAAAGCCTTTGAGTTTCTCAGAAACTCCAGCGGCGTATTTCATTGTTTTCACATCAGAACCTCTTAACCAGCCACTTCTTTTTTGTGAGCCGCTCTCCCATGTGTTAAAGCACGGGATGGACTCCAGAAAGGCCCTGCAGGCAATTCCAGTAAGAGGAGGAGGGAAGGAGGAAGGGATGTCACCAGGAGCTGCTTGACAGCCATTGAAAAGCCCAGCCCGGGTACCCAGCACATGCAGCTCATGCCCTTCCCCTCCCCGAGCATCCCAGAGCACAGCAAAGCCCTCCAGAACCCCACAGGGACGCACATGTACCTTCCGAGGCAGTCCCGGTATCCAGCGCAACCTTCCCCCAGAGAGCTGTGGCATTTAGAGGTACAGAATTGCAAATGACCCCAAAAGGAGCAGTTACTGGGACTGCAGAAGCTGTCAGCACCTGCCACTCAGCGGCTCCATTACTCCCGCGTCAGACTCTATGACTACATGCCAAAAACCTGGGGAGAAAGGGGAGAAAAACAAATCAGACAAAGGGTTAGCAGGGAGGGCTGTACGGGAGCATCTTCTGCCGGCACCTGTCACCAGCACTTACCTAAGGAGCACCGGGCAGTACAGCACGGAATGCTGTGCTCAAATTTGGGTGATGAAATCTGATGGTGGCAGAATAAATGAAAAACCCAGTCAAGCACCGCCAGCCCCAACCGCAGGACATGGAGAGTTCCTCTTCCCACAGCTCTGCAGAACCAAAATCCCCCCAGACTTTAACACTCCCTTGCTGAGGCCGGCCTGTCTCAGCTCAGGGCCAAAACCACACCTGCATCTGAAGACGACCACCAAGAGAGGCCCTGTCCAACAAAGCAGGGCTCAATTTCTGGCAGCAAGGGGAACCCAACCGCCCAGGAGACGCTGGAAAGCCTCAGATATTTCTCTGCAGACTGCCTCATTTACGGAAAGGGCGGTTTTGCAGGCAGGGATTTCATTACCATTTTCCAAGGGCGAATCAGATGCTGGGGCAGAGCATTTACATCTGGTTTTGTGAGCAAGGAAAGGATTCTCGGGTTAATTGTGCTCAGGAAGGCACAGACACAAGAGAGCAGCCTGTGCTTACCTAGACCTGAGACAAGTCCTTAGGACAGCCCTCAAGTCAGACACTGAGCTCACGTGGGTACCAAATCCCAGCCCTTTCCAAGCCTGCTACCACTGGTGAATGCCCAGCTCTACTCCAGCCTGGGAGAGGCTGAGAGACATCCCAATCCAGCTGCCACCCAACTCCCCCTCCTCCCAGCCAAGCACCAGCACTAAAACATCATCTCAACACTGCACTCAAACTTGGGAGAGTTATAAACCTCTCCACAGGTCCCAAGGAACAAAAACCTGGGGAGAGGCTACTGCTGCCCTTCATGTTCTTCAAAGCTGCTTGGTGGGGAAAGTGTGACCCTCACTCTTGGCTGGATTGTCAAAAGAGATGAGAGTCGCTGCCTCTTTTTAAAACTAAAACTCTTCCCGTTTTCTTTCTCTTCCTTCATGCTCCCTTCTTTGCTCCTCACCTCCCCCTCTTCCCTCAAGCTGTTGGTTGAGATCTGAAAAGCAGTTCATGAATTGCTCAGGAGCTGGCAGAAATTAATAAAATGAAGCTCATTTATATTGAAATGGACTCATTATCATGCCAGCTGCCAATAATTTCCAAGAGGGGAATCTTGCTGACAAAAAAGGTCCTACAGGCAAGAGGCTCCCACCTGCACCCACTGCCCAGGGAGCAACCCTGCCAAGAGCATTCCTCACCTCCCAGGAAAAGGAACTGGGACCATCTCTGTTCAGATCTGGCTGCTACTGCCCCAAAACAACCTGACCAAAAGAAGAACAAAACAGAGCCCAGCATTTTATCAGCTCTTCCACCCTGACATGGCTTTTGAGTAGTTTGTACCTCAGTAAAATCTGCTCCAGGGTGACACAAACTCTGGTCACTCCCCTGAGAAACTAGCTCCAAGGCAGCCCATTGCACACACCACCTGTGCTCCTCCAGCCAAACCCCTTCTCTCCTGGCAGTCCTTTGCTAAAAAGGGGATGTTTGCAGCTGGATCCTGCATTAGCCAAATCCTCATGCTGCTCCAGTACATCTGAAGGGCTGGCAACATCCTTTGCCATGAACAGATGAGTACTGGGCACGCACAGCTCCTCCAGAAGACAAGGATTTATCATTACTCATCAACTCTTTCCTGAAAAGTTTTGCTCCCATTAACTTTTACAACTCCCAGTCTTTTCTAAGTTAAACTGATTCATACTTTTCAAGAAGAACATCCATTTTTCATACTTTGTCTGACATTAATGTGCACTGGAACGAGCCTCAGTGTCCTGGTTCACTCCAACAGCCCAGGCTCTGCCACAGCACAACTTCTTGAGTTGTGAAGCAGCCTCCAGCAAAGCCCTCCTTCCAGCAAGGTGTCAGAAGGTCCTACAGGGCAGAAAGTGATGTCCATGCTCCTCATTCAGGAGGAAGGGCTGAAGCAAACACGAACACAGCCCCATCACTTCCTTCCCAGCACAGAGCCCTTTTTGGACACGTTTGCTCCCACAGATGCTCCCATGGAGACTGGCAGGGGGGAAGCTGACCAGTCTGTTCTCAAGGGAGACGAACAGCTGTAAACATTCACTCATGGAACAACTGATCTGATTTTTCTTTAAAAAAAAAAAATCAAATAAAGATTTTCAAACTTCTGCACTGGAGACGAAACATCCCCCGGCAGCACCGACTGCTCCTGACACACTCAGACACATCCGTGGTGTGTGCGAGCCAACGCCTGCGCACGTCAGCGCCCTTTGAAGGCCTGCAAGCAGCACAGCTGTATTTATTGCACAGCCACAGAGCACTGCCTCCAAAAAGCAGGCCAAGGAGTTCCCACAGGGCTCATCGTGCTGCCGGTCCCGGCCGGGGGAGCGCAGGAAGCCCCTGCGGATGGATTAAACGCAAAGTGAGGAAGCAGAATAGATTAAAGGAGCACCTTGTTATTCACATCTGCTACCTGCAGTCCCAGGTACAGCAAAGAGCTCTGACTTCCACATGCTGGATTTTGCAATGCCAAGTGTCTGGAGAAAAATCCAGCACACCTGTTTTCTTTTTGCTTGCAGACAGTTGACAGGAACATTAATGGATGAAAAATATGGAAGCTGTAGCTTTCTAAAAGCCTCCTTTTCAAAGCACAACCCTTCCTTTCCAGGATGAAAAAAAATCAGTATGCAAATATATTCCCTTGTCCAGTGAACAGGAAAAGTTGGCGAGAAGGACGACAGTTCTCTTTCAATTCTATTTTTACTTTTTCATTTTATGAGGCATTATTTTTGTCAGATTTCAAATGCAATCAGTTGGATGTTAAGTAAATCTTCATTCAGTCTGGAGAAGCCCTCGGTAACTCTACCACCAAGCAGGATGCACATACAGAGACAGGAAGCAGCAGGCATTCCATACAGAAACCATTCAATACTCAGCAGCAGCTCTGTGCTGTATTCCCCACCCACCATTCCAGTTCCATTTCAACTCCAGTGTTCCCATCTCCTGAAATGGAGCATCAGGCCCTTGGTTTGTGACTGGAGGCCACATTCTGTTAGTTAATAGCTAGTTAACTAATATGAATTGCTGCTGAAATCCGCCCAGCCAGTGCCCTGCCCTGAGAGCGAGGTAAATGCTGCAGGGCTCTGCTGCCCTGACAGCTCTGGCTCTCCCCATCCCATATCCCTGGGCTGCCCTCCTCAAAATAAAACCCACAGGAGAGGGAGCGTAAAATATGCAGAGCTGGAAGGGCCCCACAAGGATCAGAGTCCAGCTCCTGGCCCTGCACAGACACCCCAACAAGCCTCCAGACCCTTCACCATCCTCGTGTCCCTCCTCTGGATGCTCCTCAATAGCTTTAGATCCTTCTTAAACCGTGGTGCCCAAAGCTGCCCCCACGTCTCGAGGTGAAGCTGCACCAGTGATGATGGATGGGTGATGGATGGATGGATGGATGGATGATGGATGGATGGGTGATGGAGGGATGGATGGATGGATGATGGATGGATGGGTGATGGAGGGATGGATGGATGGATGATGGATGGATGGGTGATGGAGGGATGGATGGATGGATGATGGATGGAGGGGTGATGGAGGGATGGATGGATGATGGATCATGGATGGATGAGAGAACTGCTCTATGCCCAGGTCTTTGTTCAGAGATGCACTCCAGAAATGCTTCGAGCTTCCCCACTCTCGATCCAGGCACTGAGCCCTGAGACCAACTTTAGAGGACTGCAGAAGCAAGTTGACTTTTAAAACAGTGAAAATAAATTACAAACGTGCTCCTCTCTGTGTTTTTTTTCGATGGCATTTAAAATGTCATAGAAGCCTTTTGTTTGTGAGAAAAATTAATTCCAAACCGAGCGCTGCTTGTGAGAAAAATTAATTTCAAACCAACCACGGCTTATAATACCTGTTGAGGAGAATGGCTGCTCCTGAAACTGGGGTTTGACAACAGTGACCATTAGAAAGGTCAGGGATCCATCCATCCCTCCCCAGGAATGGGCTGGTAGAGCTTCAATTGCAAAACCTCTTTGCAAGCGCCTTGTTAACACGCAGCCTCCGTGTCTGTCACAGCTGGGAGAACAATGCTGGTGATCCTCCAGATGAAGAGGAGGGCAAAGAAAAATAAACCCACGTTCCCTTTGAGAAGAACTCCTAAAGGGGAAGGTGTGGGAAGCCCTGCTCCTCCAGCTGCAGCAGCACCACCCCTATGATAATTTCCAAGGGAGGGGAGAAAAGGCAAAAAGAGAGGGAGGGAGGAAAGTTTGTCAAGGGACCTTAAACCTCCACAGAGCCAACAGCCAGCCATGCCCAAATCCCAGCTAAAGGGAACAAAACCAGGAGCACAGCACTGAGAAAGCACCGTGGGGCCTTGGCAATAAATCAATGGAAGAGCAGAGCAGGTAGCCCAAGGCAAAGCCCCCTCTCCAAGGTTTCTCTATTTATAGAGGGGATGTGAATAATTGACACGGTTGTGGGTTTGTTTGTTTTTCAATCATTTTTACAACTATCTGAGCATGTTTTAACTCTTTCTCCTTCCCTTCCCTTTTATTTTTAATGGTGGGAAAATCCCCTTTTCTACCCTGGGGGGAATCTGCAAGGTTTTACACGTTTCCAGCAAAGGGCAGAGCAGGGGAAGGATTCTAATTTCAGATCATCAGACATAAGCAAATCTATGGGAAGCCACCAGGGCAACTCCCTGGAGCCTGTGGAGCAGACTGAGCCCAGCCAGGAGGGAACTGCAGGGAAGGAGGAGCCCACTTGGCCTCCGTGTACATTTACATGATACTTGAAAAACTAAAAGAATTCCCAAAATGCAGCTGGAATAAAAAATAAGGTGTGGCTTGTTTATTTACCTTTAGGTTCTATGTTACTGTTATTACACTTTGCTTAAAAAGGGCTTTCTGCTGG